TTTTTTTTTTTTTTCCTCATTGCAAGGAGAGAAACAATGACTTCCAAGCTCTTTACTTGTCAGAGCTAAAAGTGGAAGATATCTTTAAATTCATTTTGAAGCTATATGCATAGATTGTCAATTTGAAGAAATGTATGTAAATTATTACAGTTTTTAGTTGATATTCTTGCATATATGAATCAATCCTAGGGAGGAATGCTGACAAATTAAACTTGAATCTCAGACTAAATGCAGTTGCTAAAATGAAATGCTCAGAGAGGAAGGAAAAGGATTCAAAATAATAAGATTTGAAACTAAACTTGCAAATATATACCAAAATAGCATAAATAAAAACAATTGTGTCATATAACAGAAACCCAAATATTTGAAAGAAAAATTTTAGAAAATATCTGTTATGAGTACTATCAATAAAAAGAGCAAGTAGCAGACTATTTCTCAAAGCAGAAACTGTGAAATAATGGTCCAAATAGGAAATTACCCATGAAGAAAAATGAGAATGAATTAACATCTTAGTGATTATCAATTTCTGTAGAAAATAGGGATCCTGCAGAGCAGCTGGATGATGTTGCCCCCGGATAGGTACAGTTGTTGAATAGAGACTTGTCTCCTCCAGTTTGTCCTTTAAGGCATCTCGGTTGCTTCTGTAGCTGGACCATTGAGGCCTCTGAGTTTATCTTCTAAACTAACTTACTAGAAGTAAGGAGGAGGAGCAAATTCTTTGTCTTTTATAGAACCTTGAAGTCAGATAGGAAGGAAGTTGGTTATGCTTCAGTAATCATGTCCATTCTGCTGACTTTTTCCATGTAGTAAAACAGATAATTTCCATCATTTGTTAGAGCTTTGTTGTTTGGCATTATTGAAAACAATCAGCTTTTCCAAATTATTTCCATATCTTCTTCTTTTTCTATGTCAACTTCCTCATTTTTACAAAAGTCTGACCAGTTTCCAGAGATCCTTTTCTGTAAAAGCAGACTCCTTGTCAAGACATGGTCATTACTGCCACTGTGTGGCTTATTGTGAAAGTACTTAAAAATAAAACATACAGTTGGACCTTTAAACTTTATGTAATAACCCTGAAGCTTTCCCTAGCCTCCAGAGCTCATATCATGATATACAGTCCTGTGTGATTTGACACTGGAGATATGTTCTTAGCAATGGATCATTAGATTTCATCATTGCACATACATCCTTCAGTATAGTTATACCAACCTACATGCTATAAGTCAATCCTTGGCATGACCTCTTGACACAATCAAGAGATGGAATATAAAGAAGACATATGAGTCTGATCCTGACCTAACATCCCATACAATTTTATAATGATTAGAAAGTGTAGCTCAGCACCTATATATAGTAGTAGAATCATCTTTTATTATTACAAAGTATTCTTAATATACATAATTAAATGTGTTACACTTTTATATAACTGGCAGTGCAGTAGAGGTGTTTATACCAGGATCACCACAAACACTATGGTGTTGCACAACTATGTTACAATATCATTGGTAGTAGAAATTTTTCAACTCTGCTAGTTTTATGGGACCATTATAATATATAGTCTGTCTGTCCAAAAAGTTGCTATGTGGTACAGGACTATACTTTACTTCAAAGATAAAACTCAAATAATAGTATATAGTCTACTTTTTAAAAATCTGCATGCTGAGTAAGTGCATGAAAACACACACATATGCCCACAGAAAAATAATGCACCTACATATATACCTATGAAATCTGTATATAAGTAAACACAAAGCTAAATATGTATGTATATCCATATATTCAACATATGCATTTCATTTTCATAAGTGGGTTCATGTTTATACTTTGTTGTATCTTGCTTTTATTCTTTGAATGACTATACTATTCATTTTTGGACATTTCTATTGTTTTCATTTATTTCTTTTTTGTTATTAAAAATTAAAAATTGTGCTACTGACATGCCCTAAGAATTACATCATTTCATACTTTTGCAGTTATATCAATGATGGAAATTTCAGAGGTAATGTTTTAGATTGAAGATTATATATTCAGATTTTTGAAACATACTGCTGATTTGTTTTCCAACAAATACCACCAACTCTTCTCTTCCTGTGTCTTCCTTTTTCCTAGTTATTCTTGAAATGCAATTTTACATATTCTGACTGCTGCCCTCTTTCAATGAGTACCACTGTACGCTTTCCCATATCCACATGCATACCTGTATTTACTTTTCTTTGAAACTCTTGTTTTTACTATTGCCTTTAGTGTTTCCCAGTAAATTTCTGTGTAGCATTTGCATTGCAAGAATAATCTCTAATATATGAATACCAATATTTCCCCAGGCTTTACTTGTGTTTTGATTTGACATGATCATTTTTTTGCTACTAGATATTTAAATCAGTATGTAATCAAATTTAACATATATATTTTTTCTTTATAGTCTTTATGTGTTGAATCCTGGCAAGAAATGTCTTTCTTCCTTAAGGATATGAATAAACATACCTGCATGGACTTATAAAGCTTTTAAAATGTATTTGTATGAAATATATATTTATCAAATTCTAAAAGTATATATTAAGCTAAAAATGCACTTTACCTTTCTGCTATTATGCTCACTGCCAAAGAGATTCTTTTATTTTATGGGATTATTTTAGTACACTTTCCTTTAACTTTGACATAGTTGAGTTAACAGAAACTTAGTGCTTTACATTTGTGGTTTGTTGAGGAAGGCTTTCATTCAGTTCATTTCTTCAAACCCCAGTATTTTTTTTTCCAATGTTTATCCTTTCTTGTTTACAGGTAACTCCTTAACTGGACTTTTTTGTGTTTGTGAAGGTAGAAAACAAATTTATTTTGCTTTGTCAGGTAACAGTTCCTCTAGCACCTTTTTCTTTAATTTGGTATTTTTTCTTCTGACTTGAGACACCGGCAGGTTCCTATAACATAAATGAAGGATCTCAACATGTCTGAGTTTGCCAAGGACTTCATACAGAGCTATTAGTTTTACTTTGCATGATCTATAAAAAATTATAAATATTAATCACTTGGTGGATTGTTATTGCTCCCAATATAAAATACCCATCTTGTGTCTTCTTAAACAAATTTTGTATGGAAATGTATTTGATTTGTATTACTGCTATTGTAAGCTGTCTCTTTTTTCCATAATTTTTAAGATTTGTCTTTACCCATCCTAAAAATCCTAAAATATTCCATTTGATTTTTTCTAAACAGAGCTATTTCAGCTAGTAGATGACTGAATTTATTAAAACAATGTGTGAATCTTTCTCTTTTAGCAGTTAAATCTAACTATCCACAGTATTATTATTAAAAGTCTCATATTTTCCCTGCCATTTTTATTATATTTTTGATTTTCAATTTTACCATTCTCTCTTGTTATATGTCTTCATAGATTTTATTGAATTAATGTTTCAGGTTTTTTTCTCTTGGTTTTTATATATTTCTCATATTCTAGTGATTATATGTATGTGTGTGTATATATATAAATATATATATATATGTATGTATATATCATCAGTCTCCAAAGTAATCATCATCAATATTTTACCCAAACCCTATTCTTGAAAAGCAGAATGATGTTCTTTTTTAAAAATCATGCTTCTCTCTTTTCTGACTTGTATTCCTTATTGTTATTTATAACTTCTAGTCATGTTGAAATTATTTAAACTTTAGTTTCATATGTTAATTTTAAAATCTACATTTTTATAAGGCATTTACCATATCATACATCATACTCTTTGTTCTTGGATTCATTTGTATTCTCAGTAGCATATTTTTTCTTGTTCTCCTTTCAGAAGTAATCCTTAGATTCCAGATACACATGACATTCCAAGCAGCCACTACCAATTGATTAGAAATGGCATTTGTGCTGGAATATATGGATTCTCCTTTCCTAACACCGATTCAGTTTCTTATAGTTCAGAGATGATGTTACTGCAAAGCCAGAAAATACCTTATAGTGTCATCTTCATTATTGTACATTTTGTATTGCTTCTTTGAGTTTTTTCAGCAATCTTGTGAGACTTTTTTATCCTTTGTATTGATTTGAGATTCAAAGAAATGTATCACTTTCTTTTTCAATTTTTGTTTATCCCTCTAATACTGGCTTCTTTTCTTTTGAAGTGGGGAAAAACGTTTAATGTGTTTTATAGGTTTCCAGTTGTTCAGACTAGTACTTAAGATTTAGATCTTGATAATACATTGACATTGAATATCCAGAATCCATAATATCTATCCATTTTATTATCAGTCTAAGTCTGCCACTTTGGTGGGAAGTCCTCATCTGGATTTTCAAGAGAAACCTTTCATTTCCTTCTGTCTGCTCAAGTGCCAACTATCCGGGGAGTGTTTAGTTTGACACTTACTGGCTTCTAGAGATGCTGCATGATGTTTCTCCTGGGATAAAGTTTCCCTCATGACATCATCTCTAGGCCTTGGAGCCTTGTGAAATATTACAGTCAAAGGTGAAGCCAGGAGATGGGAACTTTACACAATGAAATGCTCACAAATTTCTCATGACAGGGTAATTACCTGCTAGCAAGCTGAAAGAGAAAAGCAGTGGAGCATGGTGGGAGATACTCTGGATCAATGTCCTTCATAATTCTCAGAACATTACAGAGTTCATTCTAGTAGTACCTGTTGAACTGCTATTATTAGAAACTCAGGTACTAATTCATTTTTTTTCTTTTTATAAATTATACATGGAATAAAGTATATTTGTACGTGCTTTTTGACTATAAGGAACAGTGTGCTATAGGTGTTAACATGGAATTCTAGAGTAAAAAATCCTCCTGAATCGATCTAATTTAATCTCAGAAGAGATTGGGGTGAGCGTAGGGTGTGTAGTCAAGCTTATGAGAAATGAGATGCACATTGTGTCCTTCCTTCTCCTGATCTGGTACCAGGGAACCCTGGCATTCCAGTAACTTCTCAATCAACTACTGTGTGATTGGCCCTTCTCTCACAACACACCTCCAACTCAACTCTGTTATGATTTCCTACAGTATTCAAAGGCAGAAAGGCATCCTGTGACTGCACTGGAAAAAATGATGGAGTCAAGTTTTGGTGGTCCCCAGCCATTCCCCACGGTCCCTTCTCCTGACAGAGGAAGCCAGTCTGTCAAACAGCACAGGTACAGGTAGCTCATTGTGGTGGGAGTGGGTGCATTCACACTGGGTGTATGCTGCGCACATGTGCCAAGGAATGGCAGAGGTATCCAGTGGAGGTGACCGCTGTTGCTTCTCCTATTGTTCTCCAAGGAGATGTTCAAGTAGCCATAGCAGGTAAACCAAAGATCCAAAGATCCCAGTTTCCTCCACAGACTGTAATGACCCTCTCTACAGGAGCCTGAACAAAACTGGTAATGCCACCCCTCAGAACTACAGGCATAGAGCCATGAAGGAAACAATGCAATGTGAAAAAGTATTAGAAATATGGTTTTTCCTAACCTTCTTTATCACAATCTGCAAAGTCAATGTCTAATTCTCCTTTATGGAACTGATGTGAGACCTTCCAAGTCTTCTAACATGATCTTCAAAAAAGAAAATATTTCAGGGGACATGCTAGTGAATCTTCTCTGTGAGCCTGTGGGATCTTCTGTAGATCGTATAAGTAGCACTCTTTTGCAAGCTGACCACAGAAACTGGCTCTTTAGAGGAAGAAGTCAAATATAATAGTATTTTGTACATCTCACAACATTGTGCACCTGAACATGTTCTTTAGCATCTTCTCTATCACACTGTTTGTGTTTTATACGTGAAGAATCTTATACTCAAGTCCAAGTGGCAAGATTTGAGACTAATGCTAGAAGAAACAATGCATGTGTTCAGAACGCACACCCTTCATCTGACAAAATATAATTTACAATTTTAATTAGGGCAGTGAAAGATAAATTCTGTTTACTTTTTGTTTGCATATATCTCAGCAGCTCTTCGCATATCCCCTTGTCAAACATGCAGCAGCAGAAAAGGAACCTATTTCCTTCCTCATCACTGAATGAGTCTTATGAGAAAGGTTTTCCTGTTTCTGGTCACAATTACTTTCACATCTCAGTCACTCCCCTAATCCACTTGATGGTGATTTTTATTCTCATTTTACATGAGTAGTAACTGAGATACCAAGGGTTTGCCAATTTTTAAAAAATGGCTTATCTATTTTCAACTTAGGATTGAAATATGCTTAGCTCTTGGATAATTGCTTCGTCTACTCACAGGAAATTTTGATTTATACCATTTGTTCTATTTACAGAATATTTCCTCATGAAAAGAACATTTCATTTCATTAGACCTAATGGAATTTGTCTTAATTAGAGAAATAAGCCCCAAATTGCCAGCTTTTTAGAAGTTGGATATTTTTTTCCAAAACAGTACTTTCCCCCTGCTGAATATATGTTAAGTAGTATTCTACCCAGTCTGGTTAGAGTTTACTATATTACTCTAGGACTATATTATACATAAATACTTTCAAGTTGAGATTTTAAAAAATGTAACAATATTTTGGAGATGCAATGTCCCTACTCCCAGTTCCTGTCTGTTTATATTTTTCCTCCTAAATTCAGCTTCTACCCAAGTTTCTCAGAGTCACTTACAAATTAAGCAAGGACATCTTAAAGAGAACTTCTTTCTGCTTTGTTCAGTGACACTGTAGTATTTGTTGGTGTGCATTGTGTCCTTATAGACAGGTGAAGGCTCTTTTATAAAACTGCTTATAGAACTTAGAATTTAATTATAAATTATGATTTAAATTATAATTTATTATATTGTAAATTATAATTTAATATATTGAAGCTTTTATTTTCTAAAACATGCAATAGATTTAAACATTTTCACTACTGATAACCCAGTCTCTGATTTATATGTCCTGAAAACTGTTCCATAACTTCCTAAATACCACCAGGCTTGAAGGCTTGAAAAGTTGATTGATCAATAGGGACCACTTCACATTAGTAGGCTTTGTAGTAATGACAGGGGAGCAAATTATGAGTAATTAATTTATTTTTTGTGTACTGAAAATAATTCCATTGGATAACTTATTTATGAAACAAAGCTATTAACACAATGCCATTATTGCTCATGTTTAGTCCAAAAGAAAAGAAAAGATAGGGAAAGAAAAGAAAGAAAGAAAAAAAGAAAGAAAGAAAGAAAGAGAAAGAAAGAAGAAAGAAGAAAGAAAGAGAGAGAAAGAAAGAAAGAAAAAGAAAGAAAGAAGGAATTTAACTGCCTCTTACAGAAATCTACTATGGCATGCCATCCTTGTGGCACTATATTTCGGTGATCTAAACTGCTTAATAAAAGCACACATGTAAATTTCCTACAGTGACACGAGTCCAAGATTCTCAGTGATCAGGCTGATCCTTTCAGTTGCCAGTTGTGGTAGAAAAGAGAAGAAAACACATGCTGTTAAGCACCTGCTATTGGCGGGCCTGTACTTCCCTCTCTGCATAACCTCCACAGTAATGTGGAGGAAACACACAGCATGCTGATCTCTTCATTCTGCTGCTCTCCTTCACCTCTGTACCCAGTCTCTACCTGTCTTTGCCTCACCTTGTGCACCAGGAGGGCTGTAGGCTCCTTTGTTCTCTGGCTTTTTAGGGTTCAGTGTGAGTGAGGCTCAGGCATGAGACAAATAGGAGGAAGGTGAGCTCACAGCATTTCTGCCATTGTCGTCCCTGCTTGGTTGACCAGACTGTGTCTTCCAGACTACAGAGCCAGGCTGGTAGCCTTGGCCTTGCAGCTGTCTCCATTCTGGTAACTGCTCCCTCTCTTTGTCTCTGTAGCCGAAGGACAATTAACAGCTTAATACTGTTACTAAACTGAAACACGGTAGTATCTCTTATGATTTTATTTTTCCCTTCAACAGTAAACTCACTTTTGAAATTGTAAAATCTCCTCAAATTTACAGTATCATTTATTTCCCTTGAAGAGTGTGGTACAAGTACTGTCCCCCACTCTTGCTTCCTAGAAATATATAGACGAGATTTCCACCCCACAGCTAACTGTAGCATCCAGGCCTTCCTTTATACCTTATGAATTCCATAATTGTTGTGGGGTTGTAGATAGAAGTAGGAAGGGAAGGAAACAAATTAGCTACAGTGAGAAGTTCAACTTATTGGCTTAGAGATCAAGCTAGGTACACCTTATTGCGAGGCATCCTGGGACTCAACAGACAGGATGTATCATGATCAAAAATGAAGCTATAATGGTGGTGCCAATATATGATCTGTTTTCTGCACAAATTCAAGAAGTTAATGTTGGCTTGTGGAATATAAAGTTTGATTAGTCATTTTGCCAAAACCAGAAAGGTAGCTTCTAGCAGTCAAATGTCAAGTTCTCAAACTCTAACTTTAAATAACATTTGCAAGGCTTTGTTTTATATTTAAGTAGAAATAATAATAATATGGTTGGGGGCGGAGTGACAGAACTCAAGTCATATAGTGATATGGATAATTTCTTTGGCAGACTATCCCCTTTAGAATTTGGTATGCTTGCTTACATTTTTAGAATCTCTTATCTTTGAATAGTTGTGTTGATATTTTCAGAATAAATGTGGGTGCTGAATAGTACTTAGTTCATGTATCTGCACACAGCAGAGTTAGTCTGACCACATACAAGTGCATCTTGTGTAATGTCTGCACCCAGCCCAAGTTCTCCTCACATATCCACTTAGGGGTGATTCAGTGGCTTGGAAATGGGAATGGACCTGGAGTAGGTAATGAGTCACATTAGCCATTAATTTTCATAGCATATAGTTGGTTGGTTTTATATAAGCTGCACAAAGGGGTCTCTTTTTGTTGTAACACATGAATATTTGGGTATTTTGGGTGCAACTACCAAATGAAATTTTAATCAGATATTTATTAAAAAAGACTCAAAAAAAAAATTGAAATTGATGAAAATCTGGGATAGTGAACTGAGAATTTAACACATATGTTAAGGAAAGAGTGCCAATTAAAGTAAGATTTGTTTATTCTGTCACTGAGAAGTGAAAATTTCTCTATAAATCCCTTCTGGGCTTCCTGTGTTTTGTTCTTGTTAGTGTCTAATAAGGCCATTTTTATTCCAATTAGACAGATACTATGGTTTGAATACTGAGGGTAGAAGGGAATTGGGATCTTGAGGATTCCTTAAAACTCATTTCTTGTTTCTGGTTGGAAAGCTGCAGTTATTTTAATCAGTAGTGCTCTAAACTAGAAAGCGAGAAAGTGAAATAAATTGGGCACTGCCTGATCACCTCCAAGTGCAGAGTCCATATGCATGGATGTTCTCTCGCCTGGAATGTTGAGGATCTGGGGAATAAATACTAAGCCCGAAGACAATTGCTGTGATCTCTTTGGTTTGTTGGTTTTGTTTCTTTTGTTGTTTTCAACCCAGCAGGAGTCTCTCCTCTTGCTGTAGCCCAGGCCAGAGAAGTGGGATGCTCCACAGGAATGCCTTCAGGAGGACACCCCCCTCACCCCGCAGCAGACTGGGCGGAATTGTGGGACCAGCATACCAACAGCTTGAAGAATCAAGGATCCCAGACCAGGATACAATACCCTGCCAAGGGTAGGTTTTAAAAACAAAGGCATTTAGAGGGTGTTATGAGTACTAGAGCTTTAAATTGAGTGATACATTCCTTGTAGTTTTATTCACTGATTTCTTTATCAATTGGCTGTTTATGCTACTTCCATCTTTATTCCACACAAAAGTGAACTGACTGAAAAGAATGGGTATTAGGGAAATATTAGACTGAAAAATATAAAGAACAAAGGGTGGCTCTGGATCTGGTGCACACAGACCTTCACAAAGGCTCAGGGTACAGTGAGTGGAGTGCAGCATAGATTTTAGCCACTATCTCTCAAGTTAGCATAGACCAATCAATCAAAAATGGTACCCCAAGAAGATTATATAGCCTGGACTTATTCATAGGTTACACAGAAAAAGAATCACCAAAGTCAGAGTCACATCTTAAGAGTAAGAGAGATCTAGAATATACTGAGTCCCTAACCACACCTAGCTACCAGTGTAATTTAGTTGTTCTTTTAGAAATGTTGTAGCTGAACACACCAAGGATACCACAGTTTAAATAGCTTTGTACTTAAGCTCCATATGATTGTTGGTCAGATTTTTTAAAAAATGGGTTAAAAGGCTCATACCTGGCATTCAGTAGTATTGGTATTTATTATTACCATAATAGTCATAATGTTACCATTAGTTTCAAGAGCAGCAGACTCAAGATTTACTGTGATTTTTGTTACATCAAGCTTTTGTCCGTCTTGAATAATCCAGGTTAGGTCTCTATGCTGCTGTAGCTGGGTGATTTTTTTTTTCAGACAGTCTCCATCAAGCTAAAGAGCAAAGCAAGTGGGTGGTCTAGCACTCAGTCTTAGCTTTCCCCTTTCTTCTGGGCATGGGATGGATGGAGCAGCACTGTGTCTGACAAAGCTCAGCCTAGATTTCTTTAAGACTAGAGAATAGGACATAAATAGCCTGTGGCTAGGTTTTGTAATTTTGAAGCAATTCCAAATGGAATGTAAAATGCATTTTGCACAGATTTAGGGTGACAGTTGCAAATTCAACCTAACAGCCAAATTGTTCTAAATGTACAACACATGGAATAGCTTGCCTTTCTCTTGGCCTTAGCTCTTAAAAAAAGGGGTTGCAGGGCCAGGGATTTAGCTCAGTGGTTCTGCTGCCTGCCTTGCAAGTGCAAGGACCTGAGTTCAATCCTCGGTACCAAAAAAAATAAAAATTCCAGTTTGTTCACTTCTGCCGGGGATTTAGCTCAGTGGTTCTGGCTCCTGCCTCACAAGCACAAAGTCTCGAGTTTGATCCTTGGTACCAAAAAAAAAAAAGAGTATGTGATCTGTTGCATGATTAGTTTCAGGCCGGGGATTTAGCTCAGTGGTTCTGCCGCCTGCCTTGCGAGTACAAGGAGCCGAGTTAGGTCCCCATTACCAAAAAAACCCACAAAAAACAAAAAACGTTGCATCTAGCCTATAATTATGATTGATTATATTTCATAGTTTTTTTTACACATCATTGATTATGCATCTTAAGAGCATATATGTGTGTGTATATACATTTTTCTTGGGATGAATGCTATTGTGAGAAGAAATAAGGAAAATCAACTTCAGAGTTTTTTGAATGGATAGAAAATCCTTCCCCAGTGTCATTCCTTCTGCAGAGCACTCTTATGACTACATTCCTTGGGTTCCAGGGGTCAGATGCCCTGGACCTTGCCATGCTCAGCCTGGAATCCCACTTTCTCCTATCTTCCAGGGATCATAGTTTGCTATTGCATGTTCAGGCTCTGTTTTGTCCTTTACCTCCTGGGGAGACTCCACTTAGTGTCTGGATGGTGGTGATTTTGGCTGGCCACGTATATTTTCCTGTGTGTGATATGCACCCGATGTTGATAAATGGTGACTCTAAGTATAAGTCACTCTGTGGTCAACACAACGAATCTCAGGGAGCAATCTCATTCTCAGTTCTTAAAAACAGCTATTTTCCACTCCCAGGGGACTGACTGTCTCTCTGGACTGGAAATGGGATTGGTAATAGAATTTCACAGCTAAAGTCCCTCTTCAAATCTGACCTTATCCTGGAGAGGGGAGTGAATGGATTTGCAAGAGACATCTGCCATCTGCTGTTTGCTTACCAAGCATGTGGTCCCTGTCTGCTAGTTAGGCTCCCAGTATATGCAACTTCTCTCTTTGCCAAGAACTTCAGCCAAGCCTGAACCTAGCACTCATTTTAGGATAGCCTGCATAAAGAGTGAGACAGAGAAGAAATTCCTAAGGAATCTTCTCCTCGATTGGAGCCTGATTAGTAACAACCAGGGTAATGGCTTACACATGTTTAAGCGGGGTTTTGTCAGGCAAATCAAACTAGTGTGTTCATAGACTAGACAGAAAGGAAATCAGCAAAGGTATGTTCACATCTTAAACATAGGAGGGATCTAAAATATACTGAGTTTCTAATCATGCCTAGCTACCCACTTTGGTTCAGTGGTTCTTTAGAAATGTAACTGAGGACAGTAAGGATAGCAGAGTTTGAATGGCTAGCCTAAGATGTCATCTGTCATCCCATGTTAAAGAGCTCAGATCAAATACTGGCCTTTGGGACTAAATGAACCACTAAAACAGGAAAGCATGGCTGTGATATGTAAGTAGTATGGCTCCAGGGAGAAAAGTAGATTTTTTTCCATTTAGTCTCTGCATTCTAGTGCCAGATGCTCCAGAAAATGTGTCTTGATATCACCTAGAGAAACACAAATTCCTTAGCTTGACCCCTCAATGATTGGGAAGCAAATCAAGCGATTAATTGTTAAACTCTTCTTTAACAGGATGTTTTGACTCACAGTTACAGACAAAATGCATCTATGATTTCTTTGTTGAAAGAGAGGAAAGGCAGTTCAAAGTGGCAGCACAGTCACTGAGTGACACCTCCTGAGTCTCATCTGAGATAGAGCTGTTAACCTCAAGGGATATAGAACTTTGAATTGATTCCAAGTTAGGATCACATGTAGAGATGCAGTTCTCACTGAGACATCTGCTGGGACTCTAGTCTGGAGAGCCTCTCAATAACTCAAAGGAGGAAGAGAGGACTACCACTGTGCCTCTAGGAAAAGAGTGGAGAGACACAGTTGCAATTAGACCTCTGAGCAAGTAGACTGGACTGGGATGTGGGTGCTGGGGATTGAACCCAGAAACTCATGCATGCTAACTAAGCACATGGTTTTTCACTGAGCTACATCCACCCTCAGCTCCAACCTCTGTTTTAAATAATGGGAAAATTATAGTGAGACAAACATTTGTCTGAGATTCCAACACAAGAAATGGCATTGGGACTTACAATCATATCTAACTCAAAACTAAATTATGTCTTGCAGAGTTCTCATAGTTTAAAACCCACCTTCCAGTTATAATACCATTTACAATTTCAGTTATTGCTAGTCGTGAGTCTAGCATCTGGTTTGAGAAGGGAAATCATAGATACGAAAGAAGAGGTACAATTAACTAAGTCCTTATTGAAACACTCAGGTATATTAGGAAAGGGCTTTGCCACATTATTCACTTGTTGAAGCTAGAATTTTAAAACATTCTGTAAGACATTTATCCAACAGATATACAAAGAGTATTTATATCCATGTGTAACAGTTTTCACCTATCACCATCATATTTCAACTTATTAGATTCTACCTGCTAATATACCCTGATGATACTGATGTGGAGTGCAGTGATATTTTAGTTCTCTTTCTTCACTGTGTTCCATTACTGAATTTGGAATACAGATTTTCTACATATATGTTTATAGGTGCAAAAAGGACAGTACCAAGAAGAAAACATGAGACCCTAAAATTTGTCACCTTTCGGCCTTGGTGAATCAGAAACTTTTGATGCAGATTTCTAAGAAGAAAGGAGTAAGATCCCCAGGGAACTTCCATATACTTGGCTGTATAGTTTGCTTGGATAAAGATTAAGCACCCCTACAAAAACTGTTCTAGTTTATCTTAGTATATCCATTCATCAGAGTGTTTCCTTTTAATAGTAACAATTAGACAGACAACTTGGGTTTAATTCTTTCTTCTGCCTTTTACTGAAAATATAATTTGGGGCAAGTCATTTGAGTGTCCCTTAGGATAGCTTACTTGTCCATTACATGCTAAGAATCATAAAAACTTTTTTTTAATTAGTCAGGAAATTGGAGGTGAAAGTGTTTTTTCAAGGCCCCCTGCAAGTATAAACTGTGTTATTTTGTTTGAATATGGATAAATGTTGGGTTGTAAAAGTAGCTTTTATCTTAAAGATGTTTGTTAGACCATGGCTTATCAATTGCCAACTCTATTCTAGGCACATTAAAAACAGATGGGTCTACAAAAACCTAAATCTGCTCCTTATCTTTACTGACAGTCTGGTGGAAAAACAGACCTTGAAATTATCCCTATGATGAACATATAATAAAGACTTCTATTTAGTATGTAACACACTTCATTACAATGATTATTTAAACATGATCTTTATTTACAATGTAAGCCAAGGAAATGAAACTTACTGTATGGAGAACAAATGTGATTAAATTATGTTTAGATGTTAGTGTTTCAAGCTTAAAGACAAATAAGTCAGAGATGGAATAAAATTGAGTGTTCTAGTCCCCAAATCACACTCCTGTAAATTTGTGATATACCTTTCCCACTTTCTCACACTGAAAAGCTCAGAGAAAGAAAAATCACCAGCTCAGAACAGCCAAGAAGGAGCCTAGCCTGATTTGGGCATATTCAAATTGCTTGGAAGGGCATCTTGGAATTCCTGGCAAGCCATTGTCATGCACCAGTGGACCTCCTCTACCTTGCTAGGCTCCAGCAACCTTGCCACTAAAGCTGCTAGATTGATAGTTGTCCCACTGAACCCACTTCATATTCAACCCAAGAAGGCAAGGAAATTGTGCTCCTCCTGTCCTCATCCTCAGATTCACCAGCAGGCCAGCGAGGCAGTTCCTATGGAGTGCCAATGGTGATTGGTTTTGCATCCCCTAAAATTATTGTAAAGTGGAAAAACTCAGTGTTTAGCATTGGGCTTCCTGATTGCCTCCAAATAGGGTGGCCAGAGACATCTGCTGCAGGACCCAGGGCTGAGAGGGTGGTCGAGTTGATGAAGTGGAAATGGGTTTCCTGTTTGTCACTGTAAGAAGGCCACACTTATCTGCTCAATCCCCATTTACTTTGTATTCTAGGATAGAGGTCAGGAAGACTATATCCCACCTGCCTATACAGCTGTGGTGTGTTGAAAGACCCCTGGACTTAAAGTAAGAAGATCTGGGTTTGAGTCTCAGTCTGTCACTTATTTTCTGTGTGACCTTGGGCAAGTCACTTCACCAATCTGAGCTTCAGTTGACTTCTCTGTTTAACTGGAAGCATACTATCCGTCTCATGGGGTTGCTGTGAGAATTCAGTGAGATGGTGCATGTGGAAAGTTCGTTGTGGATTGACTTACTCTACAGAGGCAAGGCAGAGGGTAGGATGCATGATGCTTTGTTTCTTTTCCAGGTATTCATCCAATGGTTTAAAAACCCAACAAAATGCATCAATAAATATGCAACTGCCTTCAAGAGAAACAAATCCCTATTTTAATAACTTGGATCAAAAGGACCTAGTGGGATACTCATCCACAAGGGCCAGCTCTGTGCCCATCATCCCGTCGGTGGGTCTAGAAGAAACCTGCATGCAAATGCCAGGGATTTCTGAGGTCAAAAGCATCAAATGGTGCAAAAACTCCTATTCTGCTGACATCGTCAACGTGAGTATTCCCGTCAGTGACTGTTTTATAGCAGAACAACAGGAAGTGAAAATATTGCTAGAAACTGTCCAGGAGCAAATCCGGATTCTGACTGATGCCAGACGGTCGGAAGACTACGAACTGGCCAGCGTAGAAACCGAGGACAGTGCAAGTGAAAATACAGCCTTTCTCCCCCTGAGTCCCACAGCCAAATCGGAACGAGAGGCACAATTTGTCTTAAGAAATGAAATACAAAGAGACTCGGCATTGACCAAGTGACTGGAGACGTAGGAATCTGTGCATTCGATGCTTTGCTCAACAGGAAAGAGAGGAAATTAAATACAAATTATTTATATGCATTAATTTAAGAGCATCTACTTAGAAGAAACCAAATAGTCTATCGCCCTCATATCATAGTGTTTTTTAACAAAATATTTTTTTAAAGGGAAAGAAATGTTTCAGGAGGGATAAAGCTTACCATTGAAGCTTTTGGGGAGAATTCTGAATTCAATTTTAGTTAGTCCTAACATTGTCCTTTTTGGCCCTCAGAAGCTGTGGGCAATTGAACCCTTGGTCCCACAGTGCCAGTGTCCTCATCAAGGAAGCACTGGACAGTACCTGGTTTTACAAAGAAGAGCTCTATCCTGTGGGTGGATGTGCCAGGGAGCAGGTGGCCCTTGCCATTTGCTGTGCCAAGCCTAACCCATAAATTTCTACTCAAATAACACCCGTATCACAGATTATGTCTTGTCAAAAAATGTAGTGTTTTATATTTGATTTTTGAAGAATGGCACAAAAACTGCCTATGGAAGGAGACAGATAATGGTGGAGAGTAATTGGAGCAATCCTTGCTGTGCTCAATGTGCCATTTTCCTTTGAAATTTGAAAGCACAGAATCTCAGAGGGAGGTACAAAATTATTATAGAAAAAGAGACAAGAAACTCACAATGTCATGTGACTAAAATGATGCTAATAGAAATGTTTTTCTTGGAGATTGTTTCGCAGCTCTGAAGGACCATTTCTCAGTGTGTGTGTGTGTGTGTGTGTGTGTATGTGTGTGTGCATGTATGTATGTGAGCGAGCGAGCAAGGGTGTGAACTTGCTCCCTTGAGCACATCTGCTCTTGCACATGTGTTCTTTGTGTGTATGGGTGTGCATGTGGGTGTGCACTAAGCTTGCTAAAATTTGTTCTAAACATCAGGGAACCTAATATCTAGATTAAAAAGTTTTCCCTCTTGGATCTGTTTACTTTAAATCTTTCCATTCAATATAATGTTCAGTTAGTGAGTTCTTAAATCAAGATCACTTGCATGGCGGATCCTAGAAATCCTTGACAATGTCTAGACCATTTTATGATGTGAATCCTTTTTAAAGGAACAACTACTGGCTTATTGATGATATCAGTATCACAAAGTGTATTGATGGAGGATGTGTGTTTATTTTGAATCCACCTACCTACTTTATTTACATGGGCCAATTATCAAACTGACAGTTACTATTTTTTTCTCATCAGCCTCGTTGCTATTTATTTTAGAGCAAGTCTACTCTCTGTGGACCAAGGCATTGGCTTTTGTGGTTAATACAGAAGGAATAAATTGTTAAAATCACAAAGCCCAAACTACTCAGTTCACAAGAAGCTCCCAAAAGAACAGGAAATTGTGTTGTATGTTCATTTGGAATAAAGCAATATTTTTACCACTGCTAAGGTGAACTGAAACCTCTCCTGAAGATTTGTATGTTTCATTTTCCCTTACTTTCATGGGGCATTCAAAGAAATTAGTGTTCACATACCCAGTCTTTTCCCAATTATTGGTGGTGTTGAGTTGTTATGTTTACACTGTTTTAAATAAAAAGGCACAGTATTTGAAAGTACATAAAAGACTTCTTTTACTGCAGTTTGGGAAAACCTTGGTGAAAATTACTTTGTCAAAGATTTACACTCTATGGAAAAAGAATGTAACCATTTCCAAATCAGGCAGTGAAATGTACAATTCTTGCTTCATGTTAAGCTGTTTCTGTTGAAAATACATCACAAATTACTCTTTGTGAATATTTGTTAATAATAGACATTATCATCTGAGGAAAAGAAAGAATCCTCCTTTTCTTTTACTTTATTAGTACATGTGTGTAGTACACAATATTTCCATTCCTTGTGGGAAGGTGGTATATGTACATAGCACATCTCAATTCCCATTTTCGTCCTCTTTCCAATCCATCCTTTTCCCCTCCACTCATCTCTTCATCCCCTTCCTTTTTTGTATTTGTTTGCAGTGCATAATGTTTACATTCCTTTCTGTGGAAGAGCTAATGTACATAACACATTCCAATTCCTTTTTTATTTATTATTCTTTTCTTCCCCCGTCCATCTCTTGATCCTCTTTCCCTGTGAAAAAGAACTATCTTCTTATTTCTTATTATCTATCTTTTATTTTGTTCTTTATTTTTACTCTGGGTTTCTCATCAAGAGAAACTATGTGATGTTTAAGCTTATGTGTCACTTAGTATCATGCTTTTGAAGTACCTCCTTTTTCATACAAATGACTCCTTTATCTTCCTTTATGGCAGAATAGTGCTCCATTCTGTAAAAATAACACATTTTCTCTATCCATTCACTTGTTGAGAGACATATGGGCCACTTCAAAAGTTTGGCTATTATGAATTGTGCTGGTATTAACATGGGTATGCATGTACCACTCTAATATGATGTCTTCAACTTTTTCAGAAAGATACCTAGATGGGGGATAGCTGGGTATAACGTGATTTCAGGTTTTAGTTTTTAAAATAAAAACTGCATAATAGGAATTCAAGGTCTCAAATGTTGAAAACACATTGGTAGAAATCCACTTGAAATTTAAGAAAAGATTAAGTGATATTAGTTTTTCATTGTAGTTTTGTTGTTTTGAATATGAAGGCATTATTGTTAGATTTTTTAACTATAAATTTTAATGTTTGAATCACTTAAGTTCTCATCTTTATACAAATATTTTGTCTTTGGAAAAATTTTAGAAAGTTGCTCTTAAAGGTATTTTAAAAACATATAAGATTGAGCATCCAGTGTGCTATCATGTTGAAATTTATCACAATTATCAAAAAAAACCCTGTAAGACCTGTTGCAGTCAACTTTATTCTTTCTTTCCCCCTAACATGTTATGCATTGCTTAGCTAAAGGATCCATTCAGAACTCACCTAGTTAGAAGGGTATGTAGTCTGTGACTCATGTTATTTTAATATATTATTTATACTAAAAAATTAAGCTTGTCAGTGAAACTCAAGTCTTGATTCAACACTTATTTTAAAAAATGAAGTAGAACCACCAATCCCTGTACATTCTAAAAAGCATGACTCTCAGGCACAGCCATTGGCTGTGTGATAATGTTAATTCTTTGAATACTCAAGACAAAATCTTCCAGAAGGAATATGTATTAATGGTTAATTTCAGGAGTCATTTGTTTCCTTTTGGAAAAATGAAGCTTCTGCACAATGTGTCAAAATGCACGTTTTGGGAGATCTACTGATAAATGCTGAAACCAACCAGACTTTCAAAGTTAATCTGACATAGAAATACCTGCAGCCGTCAACACTGCATTTTTCAAGGTTATCTACCTACTGGGAAGTGCTTATTTCTACAAGGCACCTTTGATTTTGTTTCAATTTCCTTGTCTCTGTCATGTAAATAGATATTTGAAGATTTTTACTTGCAGAGGCTTCATATTTATTATTTACTGGAGAAGAAAAGTCATCCATTATTTGTACTTTGAATCATTCTCTGATATGTCCTTTCATAAAGCATATATTATTTTAAATTGCCAGTGACTATTACAGAATGCTGTTCAAAATCCGACCAATCTTATGTTAATATGAAATAGTAGATATGAAGTTTGAGAATTAGCATCAATTTTTTTTCTGGTTCTCTAAGTACATTAAGTATTCTGTATTTTACACTTTGGCCCAATATCTACCTTACTATGAGTTAAGGGCTAAATATTAGTAACTTTATCACATCTCTAATGATTTACATAATTTCTAAATATCAATAGCAAGGATTTCTGAAAGAGGAAGAGTGTTGCTTATAGAGTTTAACAACTTAATCTGTTTTCATCATAACCACTGATCATACTTACCAAAAAGAGAATGGAAGGGTCAAGCTGACTTCAAAATACACATTGTCTTCTGGAATGAATGACAGGTACAGCCTGAGTGGGATGTCTGGCAACTATGACTAAGGCTGGCAATGATCAGATCTCCTCAGAACATGTTCAGTGTACGCAGCCATTGCTCAACACCATCCTGCTGTATGGTGCTATAGGAAACCTCAAGTCCCTAAGTGTGTGTGTGTGTGTGTGTGTGTGTGTGTGTGTGTGTGTGTGTTTGCAGAAGGGATAGTGATCCTTTTAGTTCCAGCCCTGTAGACCTAAGATAAGTGCTATGAAACATTTCTCAAAAGAGTACATAGTATACCTAGGAACACAGCAGAGAATGGTTGGGATTTTTATTTGACATTTTGGTATCTGGGAAATATTTTATATATAAAGGATACTTTTTATTATTCAATTGTATAGATTCAGTGCAGTGTTTGCGATGGATAGCATGTCTACACTGTGTTTATACTTGTGTCTTCAGAAATCCCACCCTCATCCAGGCAAGACCAGCAGGAGGTTTCTGGGCAGTTCTCCATTGTAAAGGTATCCCAACATGCCCTGGGAAATGAAACCTTCTGATAAGCTTTATCTCTCCCTTCTCCATTCTTTCTTTCCCTTTTAAAGAAATACTGGGGGTAAAGGAAGAAAATCATTCCTCAAATCTACTTTATTCTCTTTTAATAACCTATTTCTGACTGTGACTATACACACACACAAACACATACACAATCAACATATATGTGTATATTAAATTTGAGTGGTTATTTTAGTAGCTTTATTTTTGCTTAATTTGACAAATTTCAAAGTGCTTACTTCATGGAATGTCAATAAAATCAAATCGTTTCGTGACTAGCCAACTTGGCAATGTTTTGACCACACAGACATTTTCAGTTCCTTCTCTTTCTTAGACAAGCAGAAATATCCTTGAGTGGGGAAAAAAAAATCACAAGACCCTGAACAGATTTCTGCTAGGGTCTCTCTTGGAAATGAAAATTAAATGATGGGTATAAATGACTGCTGTCACTATGGTGTATAATGATCTCAAATGTATTTTTCACAAATTTAGCCAGAACTTCTCCCCAAGGTACTCCAATAGGTGTCTGACTCCTCATGTACACCGAATTCTAGTAAGGCAGGGTGGTGTGGAGATGGGGAGAAAGTCCTCAGTGCTAACCTCAGATAAGTAATGAAAATAATAGCAGGGTGAGCAGATACAATCTTGATAAAATAGAGAGCAAGCTTCTAGTACTTTGATGATTACTTTTTGGTCATGAAAGCCTGTATTGATTGCACGTGTATTGTTACCTATGGAAGAATTATGTGATAAGAAACAATCTCATTGTTGGAAATGAATTAGAAAATCTTGTTACTGAAAAATTGTCATTGTGAAAGCTTCTGACTTATCTATACATAAATGTTGCTCTGTCAAAGAAGGTAGCTGGTCTAGTTCACCTTTGATTTTCCTTCCAAACTGAGTATCTTGTTTTCCAGGCATTGTAATCCAGACGTTACCTGGTCACCATGTCATTTAATCATTTCAACATGACTCTTTAAGATTGACACTTAATTTCCATAGAAAAAATACATATGATTCATTCTGTGTTTATTTTTAAGGTAAATTTACCTACATTGGGTAATAAAGAAGGGATAGCCACAAAAATACCCTATTCCAAAGCTTGAAAATTAAATGTTAAAATTTTACTTTAGTTTTTTTGTGTGTGTGTGAAGAAACTATGAACATTTATCAAAGGCAGAGCAACAAGATCTCCAGAGAAGATGTCAGGCTATAGATAGACTCATTAGATATGAAAAAATAAAGATATTTAATGATAGTCTCAATTATTTGCATCTCAAAATTTTTAACAGACTTTCTAACTAATAGTGAATACATTCTCTGAAGATACTTTTCCATTATGGTTAAAATAACTCTAACTTGGGGAGCACAATAGACAAAAGAATGCAAGGTTCACTTATTGGTTGTTATTTCTGTTTTTGGCAAAACAAATTATCAACATGCTGTTCTAAATATCATCCTGACTAATGCTGATTCTTCCATATATTACTTGTCTTGGTCAAAACCCCAAAGTCTGAATTCTTTCTTAGTCTTTAATAAAACAATGTGATATGTTAAAATACTTGAATCAAGGATGGTAAATTTCAGTTGTGTTGTACTTTTAGTTATAAGGATTCTATGGAGTAGTTTGCAAAGTTGAATTAGGGGAAAATACCCATATTTTTGTACTTGTTTTTGGTGTACATAAATGTCTAATGAAACACAAACACAACCGTGCTACACTTTTCATTGATGCTATCCTTTTGAATATAAATTTAAGGGTTTAAATGTTACACAGAATACATAGTACACATGGTGTGTTTAAACTCAGTGACATGGAAGACATTGGATTCAGCTATCTTTCACAGGAAGTATAGTGGTTACTATCTAAGATTTATTCTTCACAGTCTGGTTGTGAGTCCTGTTTTTATAAGTAAATGTCTGGAAAATAGATGTATTTGTTCAAACTAGAACAAATGGAAGAACAATAAAAACTCACAACACATTTTCCAGTATCTACTGGATATAAGTTAATGAGAAATGCCTTTACTCTCTTGTACACATTGTCTGAATAAAAAATAAATTCCTCCGTTTTTAATAATTGATATACTTTGGCAATATTTAAAATAAAGAATGTAAGTAACACAGAGGATACACAGGAGAAATTTTTCAATCATCACTTTTTTAAAAATGTACTCAGAAATAATCTCTTGTACCTCTGATCAAAAAGTTTGTTTTGAGGAAAAGAAATGTGTCATCTTCCAAGAAGCCATTTCAAAATGGCAGCCACTACTCTGTGTAGAATGAATGTTATGGGAAATATACTAGATATAAGTCCTTCAATATACCAAATAACCTCTTGTGCTTCTGACAAAAATTTTGTTTTAAGGAGTGTACACGTATCTCCTTTATTCTCTTCCAAGACACCATTTCAGAATGGGAGCTACTACTACATGGGGAAAGGTATCTATGCGAAATAAACTGGACATATGTGCCTCACTATCCAAGTAAGGCTTACTTCCTTTATATCTGTCGGCATCTTAAGGAAATATCTATCATATTACTTAATAAAAATTAAAGTATTAATTTACTAATTGATTTGCTTCTTGACTCCATCAGGTAAGTTGTCATCTATTGAAGGAAGTCTTAACTATTTCCCTATTGTATTTCCTTAGTAGCTTTTGTTGAATCTGGACACTCAGATTCCCTTAGGTTGTGTTCTTATTGCATGTACCTCTTATCTCATTTTTCCTCTATCAAATAGGGAATTTTCAGTTAACATGAGAAACTATTGTGATTTTGTTGGAAAAAATTAACTTTGCTCATTTTAGTTGTGTCAGTGGAGGATAAAACCATTCAAATGTAAATGATAATAAAGTTCATGACTTTAGTCATATCTTCTCATAAACAGATATAGCCTAGGGCATGTTAATTTTCCTGATATTGTTAACAAACTTCTCAACCTTCTTGGAATTATTTCTTACAACAGTATTTTCCATTTTGCAAGAGAAAGTCAAAATTATCCATTTATGTAAAAGAATAAAACAATAAATTAAACCAGATGTTAGTTCTCTAAACAGTGAGTGTTTAAAAAAACCCACAATAACAAATACTGTTTATAAGGCTTCAAATAAAATATTAACTTATTAGAAACAAAAGCTGAAGCCATACATACTGTGAGGAAATAATAAATGATTTGGACAATAAAGTATTTTTCACATCTATTCTCTGCAAATTAGATCCTTCTTCACAAAAAAATATTTCATTTTTGTAGAATTATTTAGTGAATATTAATAATGTCTGTTGAGTTCACATATTTACTTGTCCTAAAATATCCTTTCTTGCCATCTCTTCCAACTTGACAACAGTTTTATGAAAATCTGTGTTCCATTATCTTTTAACCTGTCATTTTTTCATTGACAACTTTCACTGAATGCTCAATGTTTTAAGTTAAATATAGAAGCTATTGAATCAAATATAGAAAAGATGCAGTCATACTTCAAAACTTAAAATGTGTGAGAGAAGCCAAAGAACTTGCAGTCATCCTTATAGTCAAATAACCTAGTTAACTAAAAGAGCATACCATACATTTTGAAAATGGGGCATTGATTGACTTGTTTTGTTTTGTTTGAAAAGATGGGGACTGAGAGCTTGGCAATAGATTCCAGCTTACAAAATAAAATAAGCTTTACTGTGAGTCCTTTATTCACTAAAAAAGAAAAGACAGGCACCTGATTCCATGAAGATTATACAACAGATTTAATTTGCTTTGTTTTACTTATTTTCATCTTGTTTTAAAATTAATGCTACTGAATGTAAAAAAAGACCCATTAATCCAACTATAGTAAGACCATAGTTAAGTTGTATCCTTGCATATTTTCTTCTATTGTCCACATATGTGCACATTTTACAGCATTATTTTTCTATTATTTTGTATTATGATTTAGGAAACAATATGTCCCATAGTAAAACACTGTCTTAGCAACATTTAAAGAGTACGTAAATTCTAGTGTGTTCTTACATTGTGATTTATTTGGCCATTCTATTATCATTTGCTATTCAGAGTGCTTCAATTTACTCATTACTGTAAGTAACCCATAGTTACTGTTTTCATAACGCATCTTACTTTTTATTTCATTTGGAAGGAAACTCAGAGTCCATGAAGGAATTTCATAGGATCTGTAAACTCTTGAAATTATTCTTGTGTCTGGATTAGAGTGTGCTTTTTTTTTTTGTAAGAGTGAAAGTTCTATATAAATAAAAGTGACATGAGATTTGTAAAACAATCAGTGAATCTGAGTGACAGTAAGTCCTTTAAATAATTTCCTCCTTACACACTGCAAGAAATGGTATGGCTGAGTCAGTGAATGTGACCATTTGGAAAACACATTTTAGATATTATTCCATTCTTTGTGGAAGTGGCCAATATATACAAATTTAACATTACTCAAGCTTTATTTTTAATTTACTTTGTATCGCAATATATCATCCTTTAGTTAAAATGTAATTGATTTGGGATGATTAAGAATGCATCATTGTAATACAGCTTAATTTTTTTTTCTAATTTAAAAAGATATATTTACATATAAAATATATAAGAAAATAAAAATTATCAGAAGATAAACACTATTATATTTAACCATATTTTCCTTTAGTCTTTATTAAATATATACAGTGTGTGTGTGTGTGTGTGTATATATATATGTGTGTGTGTGTATATATAATTTACAAAATTAGAGTCATCTAGTTTCAGATATTTTATCCTGCTTTATTAACTTTAAAGATGATCTAGGGTCATTTCCTTCATGAGTATCTTTATATACATGTAATGGCTACACATGCCACTATATGAAATATTCATATTTTAAAGGGCTTTTTAAACATTTATCATATATTATTTAGTTGGCTATTAGATGTTTTTTACCTTGACCCGTGTCAATATTTGCTATATACACATTGATATGTATGGATATTTCCTTAGCATTAACATATTTATAGGCATAGATAAATACTGCTATTTGGTGTTCTCACATTATGTATTTTGCTTCTTGGAGTAACCTTGATAAATTTTGATCATCAAAATAATATATTGTAATATGGAAATATGGACAAAATATTTTAAAACCCTAGAGAAATCTTTGCATCACAGACTAAACTCATACCTCCAGTCCATAATAATTGCTGAAAAGGAAGGAAGACGAAGAGGAAAAGGAGAAAAATATTTTTATATGCTGTCAACTTCATAACCTAACATAACCTAAATGTGACATAACTTTAATATAAAAGCCACAATAAAGAACTGAAGCTAAGTGTAGCAGTGGACATTTTACATGAACATTTTACATTTTATTTCGTCTCCATAATAACCATGTGAAGTAAATGGTCATATCACCCCCATTATAAAGATTGAGAATCTAAGGCAGAGAGAAGTTCAAAAACTTGCCCAGGTAGATAAAACACTTGTTCAGGACTGGATTTCAAGCCAACATCCAAGTATCTTTACCCTTTATTTTCTCTATTATTTTCTTTCATGAGAAATTTCTGATAGTAATACTCTACATGTCTAAGAGAGGGTAGAATCTTTGGATGTAACAAGTGAAAGAAATGAGGGCAATCTATAGAACTAATGAATGGGACTGAATACACCCATGTTTGTGGGTTATTTGAAATTCTCACATGAAAAACAGAGTGATTGAATAATTAGCAACATCTCTATCTATTCTTCCAAATGTGCATGCAGCAGTACTATGAAGGAGATTAGAAGGTCCATACCTCCCTCCCTGTGTACTTTCTCTATCAAGGGAAAAAGTCAAAAATGGCCTTGTGTGTGTCAACATGACAAAAATTGCTCTTTCTAGTGACCACATTTCCTTGCCCATTAACTTCAAGATCCCCAATCCTGGAAATTAGATTATAAATGTGTATTGGTCAGTCTTCAAGACTAAAATTGGGGAGGAAAATTTGTGCTCAAGTATGTGTTCAATAGAAGAAATAAGGGAAGTTCAATTGACCTCTTCCCCTTCTTGTTCTGTTAGACATAAGGCTACATACACAGGCTGAGAGATCATAAGATAGAAATATTACAAAACCATTTGTAGGCATAAACAAAGGCCAAACACATAACTTCCAACAGGCAAAGGTCACAATTCCTTTCAAAATGAGATCTGCTCTAGTACTGTACCATAGAGATTATCTGGTTACATCAAAATAAGAAAATTTACACTCAGAAATGAGATAAAAGGCAAAGGGCCAATGATTGACAGTAAATGAGAACATCATAAGTATTATTTTTTAAATATGAAGTGTCTACCAAAGACTTGTGTATCAAAGGCTTGATCAGCAATGCTTAAAGGTAGGGCTTCAGAAGGTAACTGGATCAAAAGGGCTATAATTTCATCAGTGAATTAACTCATTAATGGATTCATAATTTAATGGCATTATTTGGAAACTGAAAAGGTGGGGCCCAGCTGAAGAGAGTAAATCATGAGGGAATATATTTTGTCCCTCGCCCTTTCTTCTCTAGCTTGCTCTCTCTGCTTTGTGGCTATGATATGGTGAGCAGCTCTCCTCCATCACACACCC